ATAGCTGACTTTGAGCGCCGATATCTCGAAAACTATCTGTCCTATGGAGCTGATCATGGTCTCATTCGATTCAGCGGGTCATTTCCTACTGGAAAAGCGATAATTCGCGTGGATTTTTGCCGTTTACTGGCACTTTTGGTCGTCCGAAGATGACTCGGTGACTATATCGTACTGAAGTCTTAGGTCGGAAAATGAAAATTTTTATTTGACCTATTGAATATCTGAAAAAATTCACATAGACTAATTCGATGTCGAAATGAACGAATCTGTGGTGGTAATCGGGAAATTTTAGAAAATGGAGACGTAGTAGCCTACCGGAGTGCTCCTATTGGCACTAAAAGCGAATAGCTGACTTCGAGCGCCGATATCTCGAAAACTATCTGTCCTATGGAGCTGATCATGGTCTCATTCGATTCAGCGGGTCATTTCCTACTGGAAAAGCGATAATTCGCGTGGATTTTTGCCGTTTACTGGCACTTTTGGCCGTCCGAAGCTGGCTCGGTGACTATATCGTACTGAAGTCTTAGGTCGGAAACTGAAAATTTTTATTTGGCCTATTAAAAATCTGAAAAAATTCACATAGACTAATTCGATGTCGAAATTAACGAATCTGTGGTGGAAATCGGGAAATTTTAGAAAATGGAGACGTAGTAGCCTACCGGAGTGCTCCTATTGGCACTAAAAGCGAATAGCTGACTTCGAGCGCCGATATCTCGAAAACTATCTGTCCTATGGAGCTGATCATGGTCTCATTCGATTCAGCGGGTCATTTCCTACTGGAAAAGCGATAATTCGCGTGGATTTTTGCCGTTTACTGGCACTTTTGGCCGTCCGAAGATGGCTCGGTGACTATATCGTACTGAAGTCTTAGGTCGGAAAATGAAAATTTTTATTTGACCTATTAAATATCTGAAAAAATTCACATAGACTAATTCGATGTCGAAATGAACGAATCTGTGGTGGAAATCGGGAAATTTTGGAAAATGGAGACGTAGTAGCCTACCGGAGTGCTCCTATTGGCACTAAAAGCGAATAGCTGACTTCGAGCGCCGATATCTCGAAAACTATCTGTCCTATGGAGCTGATCATGGTCTCATTCGATTCAGCGGGTCATTTCCTACTGGAAAAGCGATAATTCGCGTGGATTTTTGCCGTTTACTGGCACTTTTGGCCGTCCGAAGATGGCTCGGTGACTATATCGTACTGAAGTCTTAGGTCGGAAAATGAAAATTTTTATTTGACCTATTGAATATCTGAAAAAATTCACATAGACTAATTCGATGTCGAAATGAACGAATCTGTGGTGGAAATCGGGAAATTTTGGAAAATGGAGACGTAGTAGCCTACCGGAGTGCTCCTATTGGCACTAAAAGCGAATAGCTGACTTCGAGCGCCGATATCTCGAAAACTATCTGTCTTATGGAGCTGATCATGGTCTCATTCGATTCAGCGGGTCATTTCCTACTGGAAAAGCGATAATTCGCGTGGATTTTTGCCGTTTACTGGCACTTTTGGCCGTCCGAAGATGGCTCGGTGACTATATCTTATATTTATATTTACATATGTATATGTGCTTGATGTTGTTTATTTTTCTTGTTTTTATCCTATTTTGTGTCACGTAATTGTACAAATTGACTGTGTATATTTTTATATTTATTTATTTTACAACATATGAACTTTGTCAATGAGAGTATATCTTCAGACAATAAAGTATATTATTATTATTATTATTATTATTATCATACTGAAGTCTTAGGTGGGAAAATGAAAATTTTTATTTGACCTATTAAACATCTGAAAAAATTCACATAGACTAATTCGATGTCGAAATCAACGTATCTGTGGTGGAAATCGGGAAATTTTGGAAAATGGAGACGTAGTAGCCTACCGGAGTGCTCCTATTGGCAATAAAAGCGAATAGCTGACTTTGAGCGCCGATATCTCGAAAACAATCTATCCTATGGAGCTGATAATGGTCTTATTCGATTCAGCGTGTCATTTCCTACTGGAGAAGCGATAATTCGCGTGGATTTTCGCCGTTTACTGGCACTTTTGGCCGTCCGAAGATGGCTCGGTGACTATATCGTACTGAAGTATTAGGTCGGAAAATGAAAATTTTTATTTGGCCTATTAAAAATCTGAAAAAATTCACATAGACTAATTCGATGTCGAAATGAACGAATCGGTGGTGGAAATCGGGAAATTTTAGAAAATGGAGACGTAGTAGCCTACCGGAGTGCTCCTATTGGCACTAAAAGCGAATAGCTGACTTCGAGCGCCGATATCTCGAAAACTATCTGTCCTATGGAGCTGATCATGGTCTCATTCGATTCAGCGGGTCATTTCCTACTGGAGAAGCGATAATTCGCGTGGATTTTTGCCGTTTACTGGCACTTTTGGCCGTCCGAAGATGGCTCGGTAACTATATCGTACTGAAGTATTAGGTCGGAAAATGAAAATTTTTATTTGGCCTATTAGAAATCTGAAAAAATTCACATAGACTAATTCGATGTCGAAATGAACGAATCTGTGGTGGAAATCGAGAAATTTTGGAAAATGGAGACGTAGTAGCCTACCGGAGTGCTCCTATTGGCAATAAAAGCGAATAGCTGACTTTGAGCGCCGATATCTCGAAAACAATCTATCCTATGGAGCTGATAATGGTCTTATTCGATTCAGCGTGTCATTTCCTACTGGAAAAGCGATAATTCGCGTGGATTTTTGCCGTTTACTGGCACTTTTGGCCGTCCGAAGATGGCTCGGTGACTATATCGTACTGAAGTCTTAGGTCGGAAAATGAAAATTTTTATTTGACCTATTAAATATCTGAAAAAATTCACATAGACTAATTCGATGTCGAAATTAACGAATCTGTGGTGGAAATCTGGAAATTTTGGAAAATGGAGACGTAGTAGCCTACCGGAGTGCTCCTATTGGCACTAAAAGCGAATAGCTGACTTTGAGCGCCGATATCTCGAAAACTATCTGTCCTATGGAGCTGATCATGGTCTCATTCGATTCAGCGGGTCATTTCCTACTGGAGAAGCGATAATTCGCGTGGATTTTTGCCGTTTACTGGCACTTTTGGCCGTCCGAAGATGGCTCGGTAACTATATCGTACTGAAGTATTAGGTCGGAAAATGAAAATTTTTATTTGGCCTATTAGAAATCTGAAAAAATTCACATAGACTAATTCGATGTCGAAATGAACGAATCTGTGGTGGAAATCGAGAAATTTTGGAAAATGGAGACGTAGTAGCCTACCGGAGTGCTCCTATTGGCAATAAAAGCGAATAGCTGACTTTGAGCGCCGATATCTCGAAAACAATCTATCCTATGGAGCTGATAATGGTCTTATTCGATTCAGCGTGTCATTTCCTACTGGAAAAGCGATAATTCGCATGGATTTTTGCCGTTTACTGGCACTTTTGGCCGTCCGAAGATGGCTCGGTGACTATATCGTACTGAAGTCTTAGGTCGGAAAATGAAAATTTTTATTTGACCTATTAAATATCTGAAAAAATTCACATAGACTAATTCGATGTCGAAATTAACGAATCTGTGGTGGAAATCTGGAAATTTTGGAAAATGGAGACGTAGTAGCCTACCGGAGTGCTCCTATTGGCACTAAAAGCGAATAGCTGACTTTGAGCGCCGATATCTCGAAAACTATCTGTCCTATGGAGCTGATCATGGTCTCATTCGATTCAGCGGGTCATTTCCTACTGGAGAAGCGATAATTCGCGTGGATTTTTGCCGTTTACTGGCACTTTTGGCCGTCCGAAGATGGCTCGGTAACTATATCGTACTGAAGTATTAGGTCGGAAAATGAAAATTTTTATTTGGCCTATTAGAAATCTGAAAAAATTCACATAGACTAATTCGATGTCGAAATGAACGAATCTGTGGTGGAAATCGAGAAATTTTGGAAAATGGAGACGTAGTAGCCTACCGGAGTGCTCCTATTGGCAATAAAAGCGAATAGCTGACTTTGAGCGCCGATATCTCGAAAACAATCTATCCTATGGAGCTGATCATGGTCTTATTCGATTCAGCGTGTCATTTCCTACTGGAAAAGCGATAATTCGCATGGATTTTTGCCGTTTACTGGCACTTTTGGCCGTCCGAAGATGGCTCGGTGACTATATCGTACTGAAGTATTAGGTCGGAAAATGAAAATTTTTATTTGGCCTATTAGAAATCTGAAAAAATTCACATAGACTAATTCGATGTCGAAATGAACGAATCTGTGGTGGAAATCGAGAAATTTTGGAAAATGGAGACGTAGTAGCCTACCGGAGTGCTCCTATTGGCAATAAAAGCGAATAGCTGACTTTGAGCGCCGATATCTCGAAAACTATCTGTCCTATGGAGCTGATTATGGTCTCACAATAATAAGATGATCCACCTCCATGTAAAATGTTGAGGCAATTTGGCCTTAGTTCTTGACTGGGTCGTAGGCGACGCTAGAAAAATATGGCCCAGTTGTCTAATTTCTCGGAATCTGTTCGAGTCCAACTATCTATGCTGAACTATCTAGGAATATCCTTCCTTCTGAAGCAGTAAAATCACTAACTTTGATGTTCTGAAGGCTTTCAAATAAGAATTTTTTAATCTGGCCCTGATGCGACAATTCTTCTGGGATAAAAACATTTAAAAATAATCTGAGAATATATTCTGCATTACCGATCTCAACCCTTCTCTACTCAACAAAATAAAGTTCACTTTGTCGCTCATAGATAACACCACCAACTGAATAGAATTGGCTTCATTGCTCTCACAAGGATGGTTAATCTTGTTACTGTGAATAATAAAGGCTAGTGCTCAGTATGAAGCCCACATTGTCCTCGTTCATTATGCATGGTGATCACTTCTAAGACAGTTGCAGAAAACATTTTCTGTAATAACTCACCTTTGTCTACATCACACAAATGAGAGCATGAAAAAATAACACAGATATAAACCAAGAAACTTTCAAAATCATTTTATGGAATATTTACCTGATAAAGGCGAACACGGTGTTGTTGTTGAGACTGTGTAGACTGCAGATGCCTCTCATTATAGAAGGAGATTCCCGGATCTTGAGGAGCTGAGCGTCGAGCGTGGCATTCTGATGCACCAGACTCGCTCCGGGAAGCAAATATGTTACTATGTCGAGCACATCAGATGAGGAATTCACCTGGAATACAAAAACAAAAGGTTTTCTATCCATTTTATCAAAAAAGAGTGACTGTATTATAGGCGACTGAGATTAAGATCGTAGCGCCAGAACGGCGAATGTCGGTACCACTCTATGGGCCATTGGCGGATTGTTTATATTGTTTGGTAATGGTGTTTATGTTCATTTCGTTTTGAGTTTTCGAACGTTCTGCTTTGTTATTTGTCTTTTTTTGGAACTTTGTATTTTCCAGCGGTCTATTTTGTTTTGATTGAGAACTATATTATCTCTGTTCAACATTAGATAACCTCCCTACCTCTAGTTGAACTTCATATATACCAACATACATAAGCTGTTAGTTTTTATCATTATTGAACAAGAATTCTCATGAAAACCTGTGTGGGATGTTGATTTCCAATTCGAATATATGGCTGGGATATTCCCCTGATAGCATGATATTTTTAAAAGAAAATCCATTATACTTTTTGGGAATAAAATGTTCTTTCAAAGGTGAATTTAGGTATACAGTTTCTACTTGACTTTTTACAACATAATCATCAAAACCCTGATTGATAAAATTCTTTACTGTCTAAAAATTCTACTGTTCATGAGTAAAGATATAATCAGTTCAAAATGTGTTTGTTTTTTCACCATCACCTCAAGATGTAGGTATTATTTTCATAATAGACATACATTCGAATATATACCTATATGAGTACATTTTCAGTGAAGTGTAAAAAACAATATCTCATTATATTTAGACACTGCCCAATCTTCAAGTTATGAATCCACACCTTTCTCCTACCGATCACTTCCTTGTTTCCCAAATTATTAGTTTCAAATAAAAATTTAGACTGTCCTGATTTTTGAAAGGAATGAAAGCTATACTCGGGATTTTTTTGCTCAAGATGAACAAGGAAGTACACAACAACAGAGATCAGTCACCCACTAAGATAGACATTTCAAATGGGCGATTTGGCCACAGCAATATATATCTACTATACAGTGCCTTTGATCGCTAATAGATGGCGCAAAGAGGACGAATCATATGAAATCCATAATTCCCGGTCATTAAGTAGTAGGGAGAAGTTAGCTCACGCCGCATAGCTCACATTCATAATATATATAATGCAGTTTGAATCTTACAGTGGTCTAGTTGAATGATTGATATCACGTCGCGTATATCTGTTATAATCCGTGTTGGTCAACTGGACTGGTTCAGCCCATTATTTTGTACCTGGTATTTCCTGGAATCCAGTCAGCAATTTCATTTCCGAACCTAAACTGTTTTGATACCTTCCGAGTGCTTTCGATGGAGGATTATTTTTACCATACACAACTGTTTGATGATTAAAAAAAATGGAACCAATTTTTGAACCACTTCTTATCGTCCGATTTATTTGAAATTCGGCAGATGTACATAATTCTGGTGATAATGGATTATGAATTTTTTTTTGAGAAAAAACAAAATGGCGGATCCAACATGGCTGACGGTTTTTGTTATTATGATTCATTCTATTCAAAAATTTTGGGGGTTTTCTGTGTCGAAGATTATGATTCTTATGTCAAAATTGAAAAATTCAAGATGGCGGACGAGTTTTATAATTATGATCCTGTTCTATTCAAAATTGGTATTTGGGGGTTTTCGGGGACGGAGATCATGATTCATGTCAAAATTGAAACATTCAAGATGGCGGATCCAATATGACGGACGAGTTTTGTAATTATAATGATCCGATTTTATTCAAAATTGGTATTTGAGGATTTTCGGGGTTAGAGATTATGATTTTTTTTGTCAAAATTGGGACAACTTTTGGAATTATGATCCGATTCGGAATTATGATCCGATTCTATTCAAAAGTGATATGACAGAATAAGTTTCATATCCATTTCCCGCTCTATCCAATGGTATTGATAGATTCGTGATCCGACGTTTCGTCTTCGAGAAGCCATCATCAATTTTGTTTTTTTGAATGGTCCAAAAAAAATGTTCACTCAAAAATCATCATCACTGTTATTAAATTTGATGATGGTTACGAGGAAACGAAATGTCGGATCAAAATTCTGATGACGGCATCTTGTAGAGAAGGAAAAATGAAGGGATTCGAAACACTTTATTTCTACTTTTTCTACAGCTTCTACAGGGTGATTCACCATAAATCTCCCCCCCTCTAGCTCAGTTATCTTTGGACCGATTTCAAAATTTGAAATTCCATTTTAAATGATTTTCGATAAAGTTTTTTTTGCTACATCAGAAAATACAGGGTGCTCGGAACAAACGATCTACAGGGTACTTTTTGATTTTTTTAAATAGAACACCCTATTTTTCATTGTATTCTTAGATTCTCCCTGAAGAGCTGATTTGATCAATGTATCACACTTGGGGTCTAGCGGAAATGATTACAGAGATATAGGGTGTTCAAAATCGAGATTTTCCAACTTTAGGATTTTTGTGTGACGAAACTATTTATTATCGGTCAAAACGGATTTTATGTCCGTATCTTAATTTTTGATGTACTATCTACTGACATTTAATAATTGGAACAGATACAGAGTGATCAGGATTCTGAATCTTGAACCACCCTGTAAATGTTCCATTTAAATGTCAGTAGATAGTGAATTAGAAGTTGAGATGGATGAAAAGGAGCCGTTTTGACCAATAATGAATAGTTTAGACACAAAAAAATCCTAAAGTTGAAAAATCTCGATTTTGAACACCCTTTATCTCAGATATCAGTAACTGAATTCTTTAACTGAAAATCACACACCAGCACTATAAAAACAACAGAACAACACAGCAGAGGAGAATCTAGAAATACTACAGTAGGTATATTTTCTTCAATGAAGAATAAACACAATATGGATGGCACAAATGCACAATCAATCCAGATTCGAAGACAACACGCAGAACAGAAACAAGTGGGTCGAAAGAAGCAGCGAAACTCGAATATACATAACCACAAAATCGGCAGAAAACGCTGCTGCGATTGATCCGAAGATGATCGGACATCGTCGGATTCAGAGATGGCTGCGAATCCCCGGCTAAGTTCACTCCATGGAATTCTAGCAACTAGAGACATCTATATTTGAATTCCAAAAGCTACTTGGAATGTATGGCCAAATTTTATACAGGAAAGATGTATCTTAGTGGGTGACTGATCTCTGACAACAATAATGACTCATGTTTTTAAACATTTATAGAAGTTCTCAAACAAAATTATAGACAATTAAAATACAACTACTTCTCATACAAAATACATGCAAACTAATGTAAACAAAGCAATCAATGGCCCATACGTTAGTTATATTAGACAACGGTAGAGGGCGTACTCCTTAGCATGATTCGCCTATAAACTGGCTTGGTGTAATTCCAAGACTCCAATGTTTATTCAATAGATCACGATTTTTTTTCAAATTCATTTATTCACGGAAAACTTCCATTATTGAACAATGTACATACTTGGCGCATGTTCAGATATTCTTGAACAGTAGGTACTGCCCAGTATATTTTATTGTTCCGATTTTAATGAAATTTACCAGCATCGTTTTCGCGGTATATTGCAAGGGACCCTGTTGAGGGCTAGAAGTTTACTGTTGGCCATTGGTGGAGAAATGGTGATGTAGTTGCAGTATTCACAAAATGTTAGGTTAAGCGTTTGAACGGTTGGGATTTCCATCAAGTACCGGTCGAGTCAATTCAAAACTTCGGGAAAATGTATTAATTTGAACTGGGAGATCTTACAGAGGCAGTAGATACTGAAACTGCTACAAATCTATAAGATGGTTTGTTATTCCCACTTTTGTTATCAACTATTTCTCAGCTATGCTTCATTTCTTCTTCACTGGAACTAGAGGTACTAGAGCTTGGTTTTTCTGATGAATCAGAATCACTTGCGGGAAATATGTCTTCTAAGATAATATGAATAATCACTCCATCCATAATTTCAACGAGCAGATAATAATAAGAATGATGAAACAGAACCAACAAAACAAAACATAGATCGAAAGATCATAGTTTATAGCAATGATTTGCTGCCAAAATCGTTCCAAAATGAAATGAAAATTCCATGAAAATTCAAAGCAACTGTTAAGTGTTCCTAAATTGCTTACTGTGGCCAGTGATTTCAGCAATATCGGAACATGCCAATATATGAACATGATATAAACTAATACCTTAGATTACTTAGTCTAGTTATTTGAAACGTGAAATTAATAAAAACAAAATCAATATTGCAAATGATACTTGAGATAGGAAACGAAATTATGAATACCAAACACACTCATCATGATTATTTCAAATGGAAACCTAGCACTCAAGGTACTGTATTATTTTTATTGCAATACATAAATAGCGAATCACTATCGACCTCGAGAGTAAATGCCTCCACATTATTTTTTCATTACCTCTTGTTGTGTTGTGTTGTAAATGCATAGGAAGACAGACGGAAAAAGGAGAAATTTCGAACTTTTCCGAGAAATATATCCTCAAATAGTGTTTTTTCACATTTTCATCATGAAATTCGTGTTTTTCAGACGAAATTACATAGGTAACAAAAATCCTCTTACCTTCCACAAGGGCCATTCAATATTGTCCACATTGAAAGTGTGATTCAGATTGTTGACGATCTCGCTGACATTCATCCGATCGAACATGCGCGCCTTCAGCGGCAAGTCGACCGCCAGTCTGTCGTCCACCTTGTAGGACTGCACCTAGAAAAATACAATAACACATTTTTCAACCTCCAATACTGTCAAATAGGGCAAATGCCAATGGAATAACATCACTGCGCGATCATTTCAAGATCTTTAATACTAATTAACTTTTCCAAATTGAAACATCCAGACTTTAGTTCCTTTGAAACTAAAAAGCGCTTACCGTGCGAAACTACCTAGGTAAGCATCAGGTAGCGGCCATTCCTATTGTGGAATATCTCAACCAAGCATCGATTTACAAATATAAATAGTACCTGAATAGATAAGTGGTTCAGGAAAGTACACTCAGTTCCAAAAAAAATGACGCACTTGATATTTGACCTATCTTCTTGAAAAAAAAAAAATAGTAGGCCGATTTTTTTTTCATTTGTTGGTGGGTAATGCATTTGTCTTTAAAAAAAAATAAAGAGGTGAATATTTTTTCAAAGCCTCCTTGATGGTGGTGGAATTACTCGAACCATGATTCATTCTTAATTTTTTACTCACCCTGTGTGTTAATTGAGTAATGGTATGCAAAGTGCTTGAACCCTATACGAAAGAGGCTTCTTTTGCGAGCATTTTGTTTTTTTATTCATTGATTTATCTCTAAAATTTTCCGAATTACAGCTTTTTTGCTGATACCTTACGCTTATCCCACAAACTTAATTTATTGAAGGATCAGAGTACTCAAAATTGATTGGGTTGTACTCTGGTAGGATCACATTGTCTTTAAAAATACAAATGCCGTTGCCATAGCAACTAATTTGTTGTATGCCTCCATATTTGACCATTTGTCGTTGTGTCATTAATTGAGTGTCCTGTTTTATTGACTAAAATTACATAAAATGCCTCAAATAAATCCTGAACAAGTAGCAATATTAGTTGCGTTAGTAAACGATGGGCGTAGTAAACGTTACGCCGTTCGTGCAGTTGGAGTTCATGAAGCAACTGCTCGTAGAGCAATCCGCAAGTACGAACAAACAGGAAGCACCGCTCGGAGGGTCGGTTCTGGTCGCCCCCGAAAAACTTCTCCAAGAGATAATCGCTTCTTGAGATTGCGGATTTTACGGAATCGATCAAATACTGTGGTAAATGTTCAGCAAGATCTTCGCCAAATTCGTGATGTTGCAGTAAGTAAGCAGACGGTATGTAGACGTCTAAAAGAAGTTAATTTAAAAGCTAGGAGACCTGCAAAAGGTCACAAATTATTGCCCGAACATCGTGCTGCTAGAAGAAATTTTGTTGAAAATTATGGACAGTGGAATATTCCTGAATGGTCGAATTTCTTGTTTACGAATGAGTCAAGGTTTTGCCTCAACATGGTGGATGGAATGAAAAGAGTGTGGAGAAGAACTGGTGAACGATTTAATCAAAATTTAATAACAGAATGCGAAAGTTTTAATGGTGGGTCCGTTATGGTGTGGGGAGGGATTTCAATGAATGGAAAGACACCCCTTCATGTTTTTCCGGTGAGGCAGTCGATGAATGCCCAAATTTACATCGACATTTTAGAGCAGTATGTCTTACCTTATGCAGAGTTAGTGGGCAATAATTTTATATTGATGCAGAATAATGCCCGACCACACACCGCAGCAATAGTGCGAAACTTCTTAGAAGCTACTGGTATTACCACATTACAATGGCCTGCGAGAAGCCCCGATATGAATCCTATAGAACATTTGTGGGATGAATTAGGGAGAAGGGTACGTTCTCGCGAGAGGTCTCCGGAAAGTTTCGCAGAGATCGTATACCAATGGGAACGATAAGCAACTCAATTTCCAGTATGCCTCGTAGATTAGAAGTTCTTAGAGTTGCTAGAGGAGGCAATACAGGGTATTAAGCAGTCATCCCAATTTATAATTTTGTGTTTAATAAAAATGTTTTTTAAAATTATTGGTATCAGTTTATTTCATTAGAAAATTGTTTCTCGATAAATTCAGAAAGTTGGTAATCTGCAAGGATTCAGCAAAAAAGCTGTAATTCGGAAAATTTTAGAGATAAATCAATGAATAAAAAAACAAAATGCTCACAAAAGAAGCCTCTTTCGTATAGGGTGTAAGCACTTTCTATGCCATCACACACAGGGTGAGTCAAAAATTAAGAATACATCATGGTTCGAGTTATTCCACCACCATCACGGAGGATTTGAAAAAATGTTCATCTCTTTATTTTTTTCAATGACAAATGCATTACCTACCAACAAATAAAAAAAAATCGGCCTACTATTTTTTTTTTTTTTTTAAGAAGATAGGTCAAATATCAAGTGCGTCACTTTTTTTGGAACTGAGTGTAGTTGTTTTTCTCTCGTTATCTACCATTTTCGGTCATTTGATGAACAAGTGTGATTGATGACTTTGAATTTCTCTCTCTTTGTGACCATTGCATTCCACTTTGAGTATTTGGTTTTTTCCCTAGCTAATCTTGTATATTGTTTAGTTTAGTTTAGTTTTTATTCATCCATTAAAGAGCTCATAAGAGCAATAGGATAAGTCAAAAGTAGTCAAAAGGTACACAATTCTATAACACATCACAATAATACATAGGATTGAAACAAATGAATAAAATGACTTACATACAATATTTACATGTCCAAATGATACATTAATTTTGTAAAAATAAAAAGAACTCGTCAATTGTATAGGGACTGATGTCAAGGAGCAAATTTTTTATTTTATGTTTGAAATATTTTTCAGAAGGAGCATGTTTGATGTTTTCTGGAATAAGATTATATGCCCTAAGTCCAATAGACTCAAACGAATGAAGTCGCAGAGATAATCGTGTCTTAGGCAGATGAAAATTGTTTTTTATGCGGGTATTGTAATCATGAAAAGCATTATTCCTTTCAAAATTGGTTCTATTTTTGTATACGAATACCAAGACTTCCATGATGTAAAGACCTGCTAGAGGCAAGATTCTGAATTTTTTGAACAAGTTTCGACATGATTCAACTGGTGATACTTTTGCAATTGTTCTGATGATTCGCTTTTGAGATAAAAATACATTATATGCATGTGGAGAGGAACCCCAAACAATCAGACCGTAGCATAGTCTGGATTGAACTTCTCCAAAATAATACAAGAGTAGACCTGAGTTGTCAAGAATTCTAGTCAAATTTCTCAGCAAATAACAGTTTCTGTTGAGTTTACTAATGAGATGAGTGCAATGGGTACGGAAATTGAGATCTTTATCTAAAAATATACCTAGAAATTTCACACTGTCAGTTTTTTCAATAGCAATATCAGAAATTTCAATATTTAAATCAATTTGATTAGTATTCTGAGCAGTCCGGAACATGACGGCTTTCGTTTTAGAGGCATTCAAGTGAAGAGAATTGTTACAAAACCAGTTCTGTAGATGATGAAGATTTGAATTGACGTTCTGTTGTAATGTATTTACGTTACTAGACCTGAATAATAGAGAAGAATCATCGGCATACAAGCAAGTAAAGCACTCAGTTAAAGCCAATGGCAATTCATTCGTATATAAAATGAAAAGTATCGGACCGAGAACTGAACCTTGAGGGACCCCAATGTCATTTGATAGTTCGTTAGAAAATATATGTTCATAATGATTATTACTTGAATGTGGTATTTTTACTGTTTGAGTTCTATTAGAGAGATATGACATGAACCAGTTGTGTTGTAATCCTCTAATACCCAAATCATATAATTTTCCCGAAAGAATATCGTGGTCCACGCAGTCAAAAGCTCGACTAAGATCACAAAAGACCCCAGTTGGGTTTTCACCTCCTTCAATAGACTTCAGAAGAGTTGAATAAAATGATATTATTGCAGTTGTCGTTGAGTGTTCAGACCTGAATCCATGTTGGTTTGGAGATAGTACATTATTAATGTTCAGAAAGTTATGGAGAAACTTCAACATTAAGTACTCAAATATTTTCGATAACGTTGATGGTATAGAGATTGGGCGAAAATTTTCTAAATTATGTGTGTTTCCCTTTTTAAATATCGGGGAAACTATAGAGTGCTTGAGTCTTGAAGGAAACTGCCCTTGTTGGAAAGATATATTGATAATATGGCAAAGGGGTGAACTAATGTAAGGTGCAATTTTCTTTAACACATATCCGGAGATACCATCAGGCCCACAGGAATGTTTATTCTTAATTTTGTCCCAGATTACTTCAAGTATATCCTCTTCAGAGATATGAGTTATGAACATACTATTTTTAACTACTGGATAATTGTATGAGGCTTTATTTGGAGTCTGAGGAATTTTGTTTTTGATTTCATGAGGTGCATTGACAAAATACTCATTGAACATGTTAGATATCACTTTAGGATTTTCTAATAGACAGCCATTAATATCTATGGATATATTTTTAGATTCTGAGTTTCTTCCTGTTAATTCCTTAACAACAGACCATGTGTTTTTGTTTACGTTTTCTGAGCTATATATTTTATTGATGTAAAATTCACTTTTGCTAGTTTTTATGAGTTTTTTATGTTGTTTCTTCTGGGTTAGATAATAATCTTTCAATTGAGGATTTTCTTTTTGAAGCTTGTACAGATTCTTGAGATTCTTACTTGAAATTTTAATTTCATTGTTAACCCATTCATTTACGGAGCTTGTGTCACATATTGTTTTAGATAGCTTCACTGGACATTCGCAATTGAAATGGTATATCAAAGTATCATGGAAACTGTTAAACTTTTCCTCAAGGCTATCTGATAGATACATTTCTGACCACGTTTGATTTTTCAGAACATTGATCAGATTCTCAATGTTAGCGTCATTTACAAATCTCTTATACTTATATTTATACTTACCTTCTTGAATATTCTGAGTCTGCATCATAGAAAAAATTACAGTGCGATGAGATGATATACAGTTATCAACTACATCCCACTCGTTGTCGCCTGGTAAGTTTGTGTAGATCTGATCAAGAATTGATTGACAAGTCAGGCCAACTCTAGTCGGCTTAGATATTCTGGGAGTAAGGTCATATGATGCTACTAGTTGTGTGAAATGGTACAAGTTGGTATCGGTCATTGAATGTGAATTAAAATCCCCATTTAAGAGTATAATGGTTCCAGGACTAAAATGCCTGTTTAGAATTAGTGATATGTTCTCAAAGAATATTTCAAAGTTCCCAGATGGAGAACGGTAGCAGCTTAATATGAGAATATTTTTATTATTAAACTTCCAACGTATTCCACATATTTCTATATGTTTTTCATGACAGTACTCCTGTAAATTTAAAGGAATGACATCTAGTCCTAAACGATACCATATACAAACTCCACCACCTATACAATTGGTTCTCTGATATGAGTTGGCAATAGTAAAATTGTTGAAATTAAAACATTCAGATGAGTTTTCTGAGCACCAAGTCTCTGTTAAACATATAAAATTGATTTGATTGTTATTCTGAGATAAATATTCTGCACTGATATAATCAAGTTTTTCATAGTTCAGAGCCTCAACGTTTAATAATAGGAAATCAAAATTGAAATTGTTAGCAGCTGCACTCACGTCACCGGGCTCCTCACACTCCTTCGTAAGTTTAAAAAACGTTGAACGTATGCTCCTGCAGGCCATTTAGTCGGATCCATTGCATCATCGAAATGGGATTCATTGTATAATGTAGCTGTTAGATTAAGATCAATTTCATAGATGAAGAAACCCAAAGTCATCTCCACAACATTGATTTGACGATCAGAGATCGATTACTTAGATTTAGAATTAGATTTAGAATGGGGCCTTCGGGCTATCTGCCTCCACACCGCGACCTTTTCAGATCTATTGTGTCTGCCCTCAAAATCGATTAGAGTTCTTCGGCTAGCCCCGTCTTCTCTATGAGACTCCATAGGCTAGCTTTCAGATCCCCTGTGTATCTCTGGGCTTCTGGTTTTTCCTCACCCAGCGTAAGGAACCTTAGTCTTGACAAGCCCTCACAGTGGCAAAGTATGTGTACTGCTGTTTCCTCCTCTTCCTGACAGAACCTGCACAGCAGTTCTTCAGTCAGACCTATCGTACTCATGTGTTTGTTGAGCCTACAATGCCCTGTGAGAAGTCCCACTAGTATTCTAGTTGAACTTCGTTTCTGGCTTAGTAGATATTCTGTGAATGTTGGCGATGGTTTTTTAATAAACTCTTTTGCCTGTCTCATTCCTGGCGATTTGTTCCACCATTCTTGAGATTTGGTTTGCATCCATGATTTGATACTAGTCTTTTGTATAGCTTTCGCAATACCACAGAAGGGTTCTGGGCCATTCAGAGCTTTGTTTGCTCCTGCTCGGGCAAGTGAGTCTGCCTCTTCATTGCCCTCGTACCCTGTATGTGCTGGTACCCATGCTAGAGTCAGTCTGTTCTGACTGCCCAGTGCATTTAGGGTTTCTAAGCAGTCCCATACTAGTTTTGAGTTAACTTGCATAGAGTTGACTGCTTTGATTGCCGCCTGGCTATCTGAATAGATTGCAATGGTTTTGCCTTTAAACTCTTGCCTTATCAATTCTTTCACGCAATGATGTATTGCAATAATTTCTGCCTGAAACACCGTCGCGTATTTACCTAAGCTCAGTGAGATTCTTGTCTTTGGCTTGGCCCCATAAATACCGGCTCCTGATCCAAACTCAGTTTTGGAGCCGTCCGTATAGACAGCAATGTCTGCATTGATAGGAGGTCCTTCCTTCCATGCCTCTCTGTCCGTTATACTTATTTTAAAAGTTTTTTCAAAGCTATATCTTGGAATTATGCCATCCGTTGGCATTCCCATGATGGGGTCGCTTTCCAACTCTTCATATAGCTTTCTATAGTCTTTACCGTGCGCGTTGCTTATGGGTGCTTGACCCCTTGACAATCTACTCACGACTGCTCTGGCTTCGCCTTGAATATATATTTGTAGTGGTGGTAGGTTCAAGAGGACCTCTAAAGCGGCTGTTGGAGTGGTTTTCATTGCACCAGTGGCACTCAGGCAAGCTTGCCTTTGAATAGCACTGAGCCTTCGAATCACTCCAGCCTGTTGTGTCTTTGGCCACCAAACTACTGACCCATATGCTATCATAGGCCTGATGACGCTGGCATAGAGCCATGTGGTCATTTTTGGTTGCAGTCCCCAATTTTTCCCGCACATTCGTCTGCACAGATTGAAGGCTACTGTACTTTTTTGAACAATTTTTTGTAGGTGTTGATTCCATGTTAACTTATGGTCAAAGATGACTCCTAAGTATTTTGCCTCTAGGGCGAACGGAATTTCTACCCCGTTGAGTACTGGTGACTTTAATCCTTCCAGTACTCTCTTTTTCGTGAAATTCACTATAGTGGTTTTATGAGGGTTCACGGTGATTACTTAGAGGTACATGTTTCGAGCTTATATAAGCTCTGATAGTCAAATAAACGTTTTGGAGATGACTTTGGGTGTCTTCAGCTATGAAATATACCACTCCACTTCGAGTTACCATGGACTTCTTCCAAAGATTAAGTTCAATTTATTTATTTATCTACCTTGCCCAGTTCTTCGGCCACCATCAGCAAACCGTCGGCGGTTTTGTTGGCGACGATGGATCGCCAGCCGGAGAGGAGTCGCCCCAGGTCGGGGGCGTTCTCGGTTTTGGAGTGCAAGTAGAAGCCGTGCTGGGTGTGGATCAGCCCTGCGGGAACGGTAAAAAAGGTCTGATTCAGATAAATGGTGAAAGGGGCAACTTTCAGCCACTGCGTTTCTTGGCATCTTCTTTGACTAAAAGATTACTTGGGAGCACCATATCATACATTCGTAAAAAACTAGCCTACTATAGACTCGTTCAATCAACCGACCATATTTCCAAGTGTAAGACATTTTGTGTTATGAGGTTTTCTAAGAAATATCTCAAATCCACTCGTCGCACTAGGCCAAACGTTTTCCGCACTGAAAGTTTTTTGTCGTTGATTACCATGTGTTAGCTGAGTTCGGAAATGGAAAAGTGTCTAGACTTTTAACAGTGTTCACCGTTCCGTTTGTTAAATGTGTAAGTGCCGGGTGCCCTATTCATAGGTACGATTAGTGTTCACACTCTTTACTCCTTAGTTTTTGTCTGTGGACATTGGAACACCAAAAATTTTAACCCCAAAATTTATTGACAAGACTCATTTAAAGTTTAAACCAATGAATAATTATCAAAGTGCCCATTATCATTTCCTGCGAATATACTAAAAATATGCATTATTCTTTTATAAAAGCTTCAGGAGATCCAGAAGTCCAGTTATAATAAGTATACAAATGTGAAAAATTAATCATCTTGTTCAGTGAACAGGTAATTATTTTTCTGTAGATTGTTATTCAACTTGGAAGAAAATAAAATGAAGCAAATGAAAAAAGGTCCAACATAATTTTATTCACAATGTTAGTAGATATCATATGAGGTGCAGGCGATTCACATCACTATACAATATACATCACCTGAATCTTTCAATATTCGCTAAATACCACATAGAGATAGCAGCTTTCTTCAACTAATATTTCTGGATGCCCTATTCTGGATGATTTTTACATACTTCGCGTGTATGCCGTGTATTGATAAATCTGAATATTACCATTATCATCGAGACTATATGTTCACGTGGGTAACGATAATACTCGTATATGTTTCGTTGAATAATCCATCATTTGATGAAGATCCATCAGTTGATGAATTCAGCAAAACAGTGAAATTTACCATATTTACAAAATAATTCAACATCCCATGTTCGTTGTTATTGTCTATCAGACGGGCACCATGACGCCAATGCGCTTTCGTTTATTTTCCGTGCAGTGCTATGAGCAAATGACACCAAAATCACGTGACTTTCACACAACACCAAACAACATCACACCATCTCGCCTGACACCGTGATTAACTCACCTATTATCATAGAAATCATATACACTAGAATGCCAATTCCCATCAAGTTTCACAGCAATGCGTGTTTCATGATGTGCGCATGCTCAGTTTTGAGGTTCCTTGTCCTACAACGTTGCCAGATTTTCAAAAGAATTAATGATACATTTATTTTAATCGAGATTATACTAGATATTTCACATGTTTTGTACGGATTGTGAACGTACATGAATACTGTGCCACTATTTTGTATTTGGACTGTTCACAATTTCAATCCGATGAAAAAGATAATTGAGTACTACCAGGTAAGTTCGGCTTGACACCTAATCCTGATGACAACTGACATTGTTGATTGTCCCTCACGTTTTGCAGAGTTGTTTCAATTTTGAGTTTTCATAATACTTGTTCAATGATAATGATTTCTCAGATAATCTACATCATTCTTTTGCTGATTATCTTTCCGGAAGATAACTATTTTGTTAGTTTTTGTACATGTGTGTTTTGAGAGCTGATAAGTTCAGAAGTGCTTCCAAATTTAGTGATGTAAAATTCTCGAGAAAGTATTTTTGGAGAACGTTCCCCGAGCACGAACGAGCATGAACGAGAATAAACAAGCATAAACGAAAAAAAAACGGGAATTTATGTTTGGGGTGTAGTAAAGTATCCAAAAACATACTTTTCGTGGTTCTTTCTGAAAATGCTCAAAATTCTCAAATTGCTGAAAATGCTTAAAATTCCCCTAATGCTCCATAAAAAAATGACACGCTGTATCAATATTCTGTGTTACAAATAATACAGTAATAGTAAGGATTAACTTCTATACTATAACATAATAAAAAACCTTTATCAAGAAGAAAAATAGCAAAAACTCAAGTAACAATTGAATATAAAAATGAACTGAAAATACCATGTTAGGTTGAGAAGTAATATGTTTCACCTATAAACTAGCTATAAACCTACTCTACTTCATCTACTCCAAATCTTCAATATCCCCTTCGAAACTTTCTGGTATATCCGCATCGTGGACACTGTAGGACCTGGTATCCTCCTCAGACTCATCAGTCTCAGACTTCTCAAATTCAAAATTTTTTGATGACGGACCCTGAACCTGATTACCAAGATCTAAACCAGCTGTGGAAGTCTCTGAAGGAGTGGAGGATTCCAAACATTGAAGTTCAATCAGTTCCGTTGATTTTGATGTTTCCTTTTTGAGAATCTTTGAAAGGAACAACAATTTTATTGTTTTTCAGTATCAATTCATTCCTTACCGACTCGGGACATCTCACAAATTTTATCAGATGATTTGCCATTTGTGTGGCATGCCGGCTATAGATAAACGTCTTTACTATTACGTTTTTTATGAAGAAAGAAATCAAATGCCTCGCATTTTCTTCCGGGCATATTTAAAAACAAAAAAAAAAAACAACACTAATAATTCGCTGTAACCACACGCGACACGCACTTACCTTTGCATCTGTGCTTTCACTCCTCAACGAACCACCAAAACAAAACAAGGGGATTCACATGCGATACAAGCGGATGAAGCGCTGATTGGTCGGGATCGTGCTGAAAATTCTCGTTCGTGCTAAAGCACGCTCTATCATGCGCGTACGATCGATTTATGTTGCGCGAACATTCGCGAACGTTCCCCACAGCACGAAGGGAACGTTCCCCCTTCACATCATTACTTCCAATTATTTCAGCAGGCAGAATGTCACAGTATTTGTTTATGGTGTAATGGCCTTCAGCGCCTACTTTACGCCCTTGATACATAAATAATTATTATATCTTTGAATTAATAATTGTACATATTGGATCTTTCCACTTGCTAGTTAAAACTTTGTCAATAGGAATAATGTTTCTTGGTCAATGAAGCCCAGTTTTGATTTGACAAAATACATTACCTGCAGTATTGGAGAAGTCCGTTTCGTCCTCGAACTTGGGATCGACCAGCAGGACGTGGGCGTTCCTGAGGCGTACGCCCGAAACGCCCAGATCGATGAACTTTTCGATGACGAGCGAGAACTCTCTGGTCACGTTCGGGTTGTGGAAATTCAGAAGGGGCCGATCTAGCGGGGCATAGTAGAACTGCTTGCGCGTTGGGGAGTACGTCCAGGATGGTTTGTTGTTGAGGCTAACCTGAAATAGAGGAAAATCAATTGGTTCGATGGCGTTCCGTCGAATTTTCCAAATTTTTGATACATGATAGTACTCGACCTACTGATCTCTAAGATGATATAGGCCGAGAAAAAGGGGGCATTTTTCAACTTCAACACCCTGTATATCGGAAACTAGTCATAGGATTGAGTAGGGACTCGGCATATTTGATCAGAAGGTCGAGTACTATCATGTACCAAAAATTTGGAAAATTCGACGGAACGCCATTTTTATATGTATAGAAAAAGTGCAGGGTTCTTTTCCAAATTTGACTCTCCCATTCTATCATTTTTTTCTGCTGAATCTGCTTGTACTAGAATCAATCGAAGATAGAACCAAGTAAGCAATTTGACTCGCAATTTAGTATTGATTGATTAAAAATGTGTTCCTTTCTCAATGTTAGGTAGGTATAGGTAGGTAGGCATACATATAGGTGAGTACCTGAACTTGAAAGTAGGTACTTTACTGGAAGGAGTGAAAGGGATGTGATACTGAATGTCATGAATTCCATTCAAAATGGAATTTCACAAACAATTTTGAATAATAAACCAACAGAAATCATGTTGGATCATTAGAATTCGCTCATTCATTTTGGCGATTTCAATAATTTTTTATAGGATAAATTGATATTGAAAAAAATATCTCAAAAAATCGTTCCAAGGTATTCCAGAGCCGTATTTCGAGATATGTTTTTTCTAGAATTGACTGGAAAGGCCCAATTTTCATGGCAATCACAAAAATAATATTTTTCCCCTTCATAATGAGATGAAGATCGTTGAATTCCGTTACACCAAAATGTAGTAATGAGAGTTTTTTCAAAGTACTATTCATCCTTCCCTCCCTCTTTCATTTGAGAGCTATTTTTTTATCAAAATGATTGGAAATGAACTCGAGAATATGAAAAAAGTGTTTTTGATATGTCTCGATACATATCAAATTTTCATAAAAACCCGTTTATTAAACAAGTCAGTGCAATTACGCCCTCTAGGGGCTGTCCTGGTTGAAAATAATTTCCAGAGATTTCTCTTGGCCACTTTCATCATTCATATATTTCTTTGAAACCTGTGCGGCAAATAGTTTCCGAGCGGTATGTTTTCAACCTGAAAAAAACAAGATAAAACAACAAATACCCAGTTATTCGGTGGTTGCGGCTGATCTCCGTTCGCAGAACTCTTCGGCAACTTCCAGATATAGTAGTCGCGATAAATGGAGTTGTTATTCTCGCTGGCGTCGAACCACACGTTAGACGTGGAAGGGTCCAAGTCCAAGATCGTTTTGGTGCCGGCATCCTTCGCTTGCTTGATGAGTTTGACGGTGTCGTGGGACTCGTCGAACAACTGATAGGCGTCGTCCGGCCAAGTCACAATCAAACCTTAACAAAATATTCAGGGGATTTTGAATTGACTCGGCAGTTACTTGATAGAAATCCATGGCAAATGTAAACACACAATGTATCCTACTTTCCCAACTTGAAGGATTAGTTACCTGCGGACAGGTTCGATAATCCTTCATTTTCGACCATAAGGCACAATATCTACATTAAAATACAGTGTACCGGATTAACTTGAAAGGGTTGATAGCAAATACATGTTATTACCTAGTAAGAAAACAAATCCAACAGTGGTGAACTATTGATGTCTAATGATTCAAAATGATTAACTTTCATTCCTTTATTTTCTATGTGTAGAATTTTGAAATTATCATCAAAACTATGGTTTTCTTCCAATATATGGTTGGCGTATGTTGAATTTGTTTTCTTTTTCAAAAAATTAATCTTATGTTCATGAATGCGTTGATTGATAAATTTGGCATCAGGGCTTCAAGAAAGGCGAAATAGTAACTTTGGTGTTTCCCTGTATAATGATCAAGTCATCAGTTTTTCACGGAAACTTATAGTTAGGCTAACATTCCGGAACATGAATCTAGGATTGGATTGAAATTTTTTGGTGGCTGTTTTTTTTTTTGGTGGTGAGATTATCTTCGCCAAATTGTGTTATTGTGACACCTTTTGAAATATTCAAGGAAATCAAATCGTGCTAATGTGTCACCTTATGAAATTGAAATATTCCAGAAAATATGAATAAATAATTCTTCACCCTCTCCGGCTGGTGTTTTTATGCAAAATAAGAATTGCAAATTCCCTATGACACATTATAGGAAAATATCCTCGTCAAATCGTGCTAATGTGTTACCTTATGAAATATTCAAGGTTATTAGGAAAATAACTTCATCAAATCGTGTTTATGTGTCACCTTTTGAAATATTCAAGAAAATATGAAAAAAAAAATACTTCACCCTCTCCAGCTGGTAGTTTTTATGCAAAATAAGAATTACAAATTCCCTATGACACATTATAGGAAAATATCTTCACCAAATTGTGTTAATGTGTCACCTTTTGAAATATTCAAGGAAAATAGGGAAATATCATCACCAAATCGTGTTAATGTGTCACCTTGTGAAATATTAAAGGAAATATGAAAAAAAAAGACTTCACCCTCTCCGGCTGGTAGTTTTTATGCAAAATAAGAATTGCAAATTCCCTATTCGTTGCCACAAATGTACCAGTAAAACTGTTAGGTATCACCCTAGACAGCAAACTTAGGTGGGCTGAACACATTGACATACTGTGTAAAAAGTTGTCAAGTCAAACCTTCATCCTCAGGCGGTTGAGGAATACTGTTGATGAGAAAGTTCTGAAAATGTCATACTTCTCATTGTTCCACTCACATCTGAGTTATGGCGTGATTTTATGGGGTAACTCTACCCACGCAAACCGTGCCTTCATTCAACAAAAGAAAGCAGTTAGGGTAATTGCCAAGGCAGCTTACAAAGATTCATGTAAACCCTTATTCAGGGCATTAGAAATATTGACACTTCCTGCACTTTATGTGTATTATTGTTTGGTTGAAATACATGATCATGTTCACAGCTATAGCAGACATAAAGATCTACACAGCTACTCCACCAGAAATAACTCCCAGCTCATAAATCCTAGATTTCGTCTCAATATTTCATCAAAGAACTCAATCAATTTGAATTTATATAACAAAGTACCAGCATCTTTCAAAGAGCTCAGCTCCTCAAAATTCAAATTAGCTATCAAACAGCTTCTACTGAAACACAGTTTTTACTCGGTGGATGAATTTCTGTCCTGTGATTTAACAAGAATAACACCATGACATATATATGAAAATACACCCATCTTACGTACCTATTACTTTTAAGAATATTTTAAACCATAAATCAGTGTTGTGTAACTATATGTATACTTGTTGCTTTTATTTGTTATGTTCACATATCGTTTATTTTTAATATTTTTTATAACAAGATATTTATATCTACGGACATGTTCCAAACTATTTGACGTGTGTAATGAATGAAATTTTCAAAGACACCAATAAATTCTATTCTATTCTATTCTATTCTATTCTATTCTATGACACATTATAGGAAAATATCCTCGTCAAATCGTGCTAATGTGTTACCTTATGAAATATTCAAGGTTATTAGGAAAATAACTTCATCAAATCGTGTTTATGTGTCACCTTTTGAAATATTCAAGAAAATATGAAAAAAAAAAATACTTCACCCTCTCCAGCTGGTAGTTTTTATGCAAAATAAGAATTACAAATTCCCTATGACACATTATAGGAAAATATCTTCACCAAATTGTGTTAATGTGTCACCTTTTGAAATATTCAAGGAAAATAGGGAAATATCATCACCAAATCGTGTTAATGTGTCACCTTGTGAAATATTAAAGGAAATATGAAAAAAAAAGACTTCACCCTCTCCGGCTGGTAGTTTTTATGCAAAATAAGAATTGCAAACTCCCTATGATACATTCTAGGAAAATATCTTCGTCAAATCGTGTTAATGTGTCACCTTATGAAATATTCAACAAAATTTGAATCAATAATCTTCACCCTCTCCGGCAGGTAGCTTTTATGCAAAATTAGAATTGAAAATTCGCTATGTCACATTATAGGAAAATATATTCGCCAAATCGTGTTAATGTGTCACCTTTTTTGTATCTTTTTCTGGTACAACAGTGTTCCAAAAGCCTTATGTGGAATTGACACCATGTTGAGACAATGGTTGAAATAGCAATGTTTTATGCATGTACTTACCCTTGATATTTTTGTCTAATAACTGTAATGCTTCTGGTTGAGTATCAGGACTAAGCTCTGTAAGTGGACCTTCTTGCCACCTAATAAGAGAAATTAGTACTCATCAACAGAAAGTAATAGTTACTTATTGTATGATTTTGAATTATATCATGTTTACATTTAATTGATAAAACAAATTTCATTTTAAATCATGATAAGTACACTAATTTTCACACACTTTGATAGTGTGAACTAAATATTAAAAATATAAATAGTAGCAACCATATTAAGTGTGTTTATTATGCATACAGTGAGGGGAATGTTGTCATTTTCTTTTTGTTAGATCAGCAGTAACATGTTAATTCATTTTCACCCTGTCTTTTGGTTTATCAATGGCTAATAAGAGGTTATATACTGTGGCTAAATTAGATTGGTGACTAATTAAGTTCATTAAAATGTTGATAGTAAATAAATGAATGAAATAATTATAGATAATTTCATGCATCCCAAAATAATGAAATATTATTGAAAAGTTGTGAATATAAATAAAAAGACAGCATTTATTTACTAGGTAGAATCAAAAATTCTGGAGATATCAACATATTTAAAGTATTCTCACCAGAATTAATATAACCTTGAAGGCAATAAATATAGAAAATACAGCCCATTGATCAATTCATATGTATTCTTTCATCATCTATGAATTAAGATAACACATGTGGCATCATGTGGCATCATCATATAAAAAAAATGTGAAAATTATGACACTGCATTATGCATACAGGGTTATCAATAATTATTTGATATTTCAAACATCTGCACTCTCTGCACTGAAAACATAAATAAACTAAGAAAACATTTTCTGTCAAGATTCCCCAATGACATTAATTGGAATGCACTGTGCAAGAAAAAATCATCCTTGATATTTGGTCTAGGTACCCTAGGTAGAAAGAAAATAACTCAATGTACATAAACATATTTCTGTAGTAGTAAGTAATTGGGTAATGGCATTCATTTAATGTTGTTATCTACAATAAGTTGCAGTCCATATTATATAACTTACCATGTCCTTGGTGGTGGTGGATCACACTTTGGAGCAGCATATATAATCAGTATGGCCCCCACCAGCATAGCAGCCCAGAGTATCCAAAATCCAATGAAGAGGAACCAGCGTAGCCTCACCCAGAATGGATCATTGGCATATTTCATCAGCTCCTCCTTATTCATACCACCAAAGGATATAGTGGGTTCACCTGAAATATGTGATTTTTCTCTATCTGGGATGTCTAAATCAATTTCTGACATCATTTCTAACAGATTTACTAGCACTAGAAAAATATTCAGAACTGAAGATACTGCATTGTTGGCCACTTCAACAGGAAATGAAATATCAGTAAACATTCCATGCCTTGATATTTTATTTATACTACTATAATTTTGCAAAGTCTGCATTTTATTACATACCTAGCATGCCAAGGTTTATTTCATGGAGCAGTGTGAAATATTTAATAGGGATAAAACTGTATATATAGGGAAGTAGGAAGAGTAACATCATGACTTTAATACTGTACCACAAAGAACATGAAAGATCATGGAAAATTAATTTCATGAAAATAATTATTGATTAGGTATTGCAGTAGATAACATACCAATATGAAGTTTTGCATCTCCATTTTTTTCACTCAGAGTAATCTTTACATCTTTGATATCAATCTCAGAATTTGGAGACACCTTTTTTTCTTCTTCAGGCAACATCTTTTCATCAGCCCCATCAGCCTCACCACTTGACCTCAACTTCTGCAGTGATTTCGGTCGAGAAACTGCTTCTTCTGTATAAAAAAATCATGAAAGTAGTCCCAGTACCAGTATAATAAGACTAATAAGAGTAAAAAAAATGCAAATACCTTCCATGTCTTTCTCTGGTATTGCCTTATATGTAGCTGGTAACTCGCTTTTAGCCTCCAACTTATCGCCCATTTTCACGTTATTTACGTCTATTCACGACAAATTACTGTTATTCAGAAATAAATTACAGACTTCCTGCGTCTGAATGGGGCCTTTGAAAGTAGGCGAGGTTTGCTCAAGACAAGCTCTACAATAATATGCTGCCCTGCCAGTCCCACCAAAGTAACCAAAAAGAATGCGATTGCAATCAATAATTATTAGGATAAAGTATGACGCAAGAATCGTAAGATTTTCAAGAGATTATTTGCAACTTGCACCAAAGAGGAGAGCCAATGAAATCTTTATCAAGAAGCGAAAGAAATGGAAACTGTAAAGAACCAAGAACCACTAAAGAAGAAAACACTTATCATTGGAAGGTCGTTGCTTTTTCCAACTTTTTCCTTTTGAGGGAAGGAGGGAAGAGAACATGAACGACTCGAGTAACGAGATAAGTTTATAGTGTTAGAAGACCAAAGGCTAAAGAGCTCACCAGCCAGTAGCCCATAGAGTTATGTATAAGTTAGTGACAATCAGTGACTTCATTGACAGTTTTAGAAATGCAGAAGAAGAAGAATCATTGTTTTGACGTTGTTTTGACAATTTGACGACGGGTCGATGGTCGACGGGCGACGGATGTTATCGCGGACGTGAGAAGAATAAAAAATATCTTGGATTCTGAATAAGCACAATAAAGGAAAGGCTACTGCATTATTACTTTTAATGCTGCCGAATTATAACAGCACAAAAGGAATACATACAAATGCATTAATTCTTAGGATCCCGGGTCGTGATCCAATAGTGAGTACTTTACACACAGAATATTTTTTGTTTGTTTGCATGTGTTCTATTAATAAAAGAAAATTCGAATTATCTTTCCGATTAGCTTATACTTGCATGTAGAGATAATTTTCCTTGACAGAGTGATAAAAGTATTATCAATTCATTTTATCTTATCTTTTACCATATTAATTAATATTTTGATACCTTGTAAAACATTGCAATTACCAGGAAGATTGAACATTAATTTCAATTCCAACAGGAATGGCTGCTATCAGTGAGTTGAGAGTTTCTTTGTTCAGCTGTTGTATTCCTAGGCCCCAGAAAAGGAGACACCTAATAGACAGGTAAATCCTCATATTGCCTTATATGGCACAGGAGTCAAGAATTTGTTGAGGACATGGCATTGGGCAGTGGTATTGATTTGGATGTACACTTAATTTGTACAAAATGGTGCTTTTATTTCAGGTCAATGATAGGTAATCCAACCAACTTCCAGCATACAGGTCATATAGGAAGTAGGGATGTTGAATTACCAGGTGATCAATTAGCTGCACTTCAAAACCAAATGAAAAGTAAAGGTGGATATGAAGCTTCCTATAAGGTAACAACTATTCATTCACCATAATTTCATAAAAGTTGAAACTAGAAAACTAGAAAATAAAAAGATAATGGTGAACGGAGTATCAAATTTGTATGGATGATGATATTATGAACCAATTTTATTTACTTAAATCTGGAATACCTCAATGATTATGTTAATTTGAAGTCAATGATATCTGTTATGTGTTCAAGTAGGAAACAGAAGGTTTAACACCCACATTTTCTTTATTTTTAGGAGCCAGATTGGTGCCAATAATTATTCAGTTCAGTGTCATACAGTAGGAGATTATTTATTTATTTGTGGTATTATTATTTTAAGTTTGTTTTACGAACTGTATATACCTAGAGAAATATGTTGATATTTCCAATTGTTGCTAGCATCTCCAAGAGATTCTGTGAACTGGTTTTATATTAACGCACATATGGTTGACTTTTGGATGTATTTATACAAGTTATGGTAATCAAATGTTATCTGTTCCTATTCCTTGACAGTGCACCAGATTAAGCTGAATCTTTTCTATGATCCATTTATGTTTTACCATGTGAATTCATTTTGCAAAATGTTGAAATGCTTGACCATTCAATTCATTATTTGAGAAATTGAACTGGAATTCATTCTCAGATTTTCTTAAATTTTTCACTTATTCTGATTTGTTTCTGAACTACACATTGTTTTTATATTGACAAAGATGTTGAAATTAATATTTGCATTACATGGGTTGAGTATGATATATGTTGATATAAGCAGTGAAAACAACACTGCCCATTTCACTAAACAGAATTGAAGACATAAGAATGATGAGTGGATAAGCGCCAAAAGTATATTTCCATGAGAATGATGAGTGGATAAGCGCCAAAAGTAAATTTCCGAGAAAATCATGAAAAACGTGTGGAAATTAGAGAATTTCGGTTTTGGTATTCTCTTGTCATATGGTATATCCATCAACTAGTTTGAAATAAGTCAAAGAAGGAGAAATTGATAAAAAGTCGAAAATAATATGAAAATTTTGAAAAAACAGTTTTACACTTATCCACTTCTCATTCTCATTTCACTGAAAAGGGGAAAATAATGCATTCTGAATACAAAAACTCAGTTCATTAGCAGAACATTACATAAAAAGACAGCTGGTTCAAATTGGAACTAAAAAAAAAAAACAACTCATTCCACCTCTAAATCACCAGAATCTGACTCCTCTGGTATGTCTACTGTCAACTAGTGGGTATATTGTCATAACATTCCTGGTATGCTGATGGAATATACTTTATAAAGTCGATGATATTCTGTAATTTTTTTGGATTGAGTGGTATTGGATTATCATTTTTTTGCAAATGTTTGACTTGCTATACAGTTTTGATTTTCTGAAACTCTTATCTTTTCCCCAGTATACTTGAATCTTTTATATTTTGAGATTTTAAATGCGCCATCTCTATTTTGGAAACACTTCTTGAAATAGTCATCTATTGTTTCTTTATTGTTCTTGACCATTGCTTGAGTTACCTACATTAACTACCTGAATTTTTTTTACGCATTTGCAACAAGTGAACATCATTCTTCTGGAATGAAAAGGTATTCTCTTTTTCTTTTGAGTATTTCAATTCGTCCCAAAGGTTATCCGCTTCTCAAGGCAACAGCATTGTAATGGTCAGTCCAGATTTAAAAGCGGATAACTCTTCCTGCCATCTCCTGGCGAATGGGGCAAGGTTACATGATTCCTTTTCACTCAATGATAGAGCGATTTTTTATTAAAGAAAATCGGACAAAAAGTGAATTTCACCAGAAGTGGTTGTTATCCACTCATCATTCTCATGTATTCAATTGATATATTGAAGGAAACTTGTTGAAATAATAATTTTGGTAGATTGTTTAGGATCATGAATGGATTTTAGCAAAATGGAAGTGCACTCTAGAGAAAATTTATTCTCATCACTTGTTGACTTGTACAGTTTTTTTATAGGATTAGCTTCACTGAACGGAAAACATGTTGATAGTTCACATTTGTCCTTCCCAAATATAGCACTCGCCTTTGGAGTTTTTTACTTCTTTATATAACTGAAATATTTTTAGACGAACAAATTTTTATATGGAAATTATGTATGGTTAGAAATAAAAAAAGCAAAACCTAGCATATTGTTTTATATATACTTAGAATTATATTTATAAAATATACATTTTATACATAGAAGGAAGTATCAAGTGGAATCATAAAAAATCCATGTCCAAAGCATTGTATAGGGCTGCTATTTCACTATGGCTGGTTATCCTCCAGAATGGGAAGTTCAATGACTTGGCAGCAGCTTCTTCATCCTGACCATCTCCTATCACTACATAAGTACATTTCCTGCCAAATCTTGTCACAATTCGCTCAAAACAACTCTCTTTACCTGTAAAAGAAAACAGGAATATTTTAGGTGAGGTCTATTATTGGATTGTTGGAGTTGACATTTGATTTTCCATTAGTGAATTTACCTATTTTTGTTGCAGAATAAATGTTATCAATGGGAAATACTCCTCCAAGACCAAAAAGTAAAATTTTTGCAAGGGCTGGAATGAGTTGTGTGGTTGTCACTAAAACATTGACACAATTGCTTCTTGAATTTATCAGTGTTAAACACTTGTTGGCCAAAGTCAACCAATTGTCAGTCACTGATTCTATTTCTGCTCTCAACTGAAGCCACTGTTCCCTTTTTGAAGCTCCTAGCAAGCCACCCACACTAAAAAAAAAGGAACTTGTCAGATTATTTATATCAGTTTTTCTGATGGAATAAGAATCTCACCTATTTCTATAATTATTATAAGTTTCCTTTATCTTCCTATATCTAAATGCTAGTTTTCTCATCCAATCAACACCCCCTCTAACTCCTGTTGCTAGACACAAATTGCCACTTCCCGAAGATGATGATTGGAAACCATCTGTACTAAAATTATAATTTGACAAATCCTGTCCATTGTCATCTGAAGACACATCATCTATGTGTACCTGATCACACTCCTGAAATAATGAGACCACACCTATATCAATTGATCTTAAGTTAAGTTGTTATAAAAATAAACAAACCTCAATATCATTGAAGAAAAAATGTGTATCAGCTAAGTTAAAAACCATTTCTTCCATCTTAAATCCCAACTGAACAACATTCTGAGGGTCTTTTTGGTATTTAGTGGCATAGCTGCCAGTTAATAGACTGTGGAATATTATTATCGTCTCATCCAGGTCCCAGATGAACACCCTGTCTGTGGTAGATTCAGGAGTTGTGGGAGAAACAGTATTTGTCCGCCTGCCCCTACCCCTGGAACCTCGAGACTCTGATCCTAAGCTACCTGATGAATCCCTAGAACGTCTGGCGCTGTCTGCCTTCAAAGGTGATGTTGAGCCTTCTGCCAAAGCAATACCATTAGCAGAATTGTCTGTAAATGAAGATATTTCTCAATATGGGAATCAAATGAAGAGAAAGATTCTACCTTCTTCACATTCAGAATCACTAGTATCACTGTAGGGACATAGTATCATTCTTATTTTTCTATATTAACACAAATATTGAATAATTTCCACTGTTTATCTCTTTGTTTTCAAATAATTTAACAAAAAATTGACGTTTTACCTTCTGAGATCTATGCCTTCTGTTTATTGATATTGACATCGATGACATTTGACAAAAGGATTCTTCTTCTATTTTATTTATATAATTCTCAAAGTTTACATTAGCTAGTAGGTACGTAACTTGTATGATTGGCAAGAAATTGTTAGAAGTTACTAGTGATGTGTTCAAGAAGTAATAAAAATAATGAGTTATGAGAATTTCGCTTACCTAATATTGTAGAAGTAGTCAGTTGATATGAAGCAGCTCCTATGCTACCGCTCGAACTAGGTGAACTAACGTATGGTGAATAACTTTGAGCGTAATAACTTGAAGCGAATTGTGGAGATTGAGAATCGGCGTACGTCGTTCCATATGAGCTATACTCTACTCCCTAAAACCAAAAAATAACAATAATAAACAAAAATAAGCTGGCAAAGGCCTTGATGGCTTATATACGAATATAGTAGAGATCATAAAATAATAATAAAGAAGAATAAACTGGCAAAAGTCTTTAGGGCTTATGTAATGTAAGTAAACGGAAAGACGAAAAAAATTGACAGTTGACAGGACGCTAATGAAATGGCGCCGTATTTCAAGGTCACAAAAATTTTCATAGCAAGTAAGCTAGATAATATGGTCTTGATATGATTTTATCATTCAAAATTATATAAATTTGATGGTAGTCACCTGTGCTGAAAATCCTTGAGTAAAGGACGAAGCGGCTGGGGCAGTGTAGGCGGCGTACGATGGATACTGACCCGACTGTCCAGTAGAGTTGAATGGTGAAGTTGGAGAAGAATAGGAGGAAGCTATGTAGCCGGCGCTCACCTTGCAAGAGGGATTGAGCCCCCTCGAAGAGTTGAGGCCCGAGTAGGGATACGTGGGGGCGTTGTAGAACGACGACGCGGAGTTTATGTATGGGGCTGATGAACCGGTGGAACCATAACCTGGTTGCATACTTAGGAAAAAAATGTGAGTGTTATTATTATTTCTCTAGAGTAGATTATGATTGGAAACGAACCTGTTGTAGTAGGAGTGTGCTGCAGAGTAGGTTTGGTGGTAGTCTTTATCATAGAGGTTCCCTAGGTCAATGTGGGTGCTGTAAAAGGATGCAGAATCTTGTGAGGCTGCTACACAGTCTGGTTCTGCTAAACCTGGGCTTCTTATCTCGCTTTTTACACCTGAAAATACAAAGTTAATGTACAGAGCATACTATTTTTGTTGAAACTGAAAGGTTTCTGGGTTGTTATGTTGTTATTGAAGATATAGAGCCTTGCTGTTCTCACATTCCTATCCAATGTTTTTGTGAAACTTGTTTCCCTTCATGAGATATAATAGGGCGATTTTGAATATTCATACTTTTTGGACCCCTTTTATATCTACAAAGTAATGAGTGATGAAAAATGTTGCCCTTAAAGAACCAAGTCCAACAGAGAATTTTACGCAGGATCCAGTGGCGTACTCAATTTTTTTTTTCGGGGTCTGGTTTTGGAGATACAACACAAACTTATACATTTTTCAATGGAACACCCTGTATTTTATTATTTCTGGAATTCGTTATTTTTCCTTCAAAATGACATAATATAATACTTTATATACATACAGGATCTCCAGAAATGCTAAGAAAATACTAAAACATAAAAATATTATGAAATTTTGCTAGTGGGCTGTGGACTTTTAATATAAATAAAGTATAATTTGAAGAATTCTCATTTGTAATGATTTTATCGAGAGATAAGGCAAAAAAGATAACAGTGAAAATTTCACACCTAACATTTTGACCAATTAATAAGTCTGTATTTTGTATCATTACCATAGCAACTAAATAAATTTCTGGATTTTCTGAGGGAATAAAGGAGCATGAAAAAACAGTGGAAATTTTTTGACGTATTATATGTAGGTAGAATGACATTTAAATTCAACTTCAGATTGAGGTAAAGTTGAATAGTTGATAAGTTCCTCACAAGAAAATACATTTCTACCAAAAATGAATTTTCAAAAAACTGAGTGATTGAAAATTATTTATTCCATTTACATGCGATTTGCTGGAACTATTCAAAATTTCAGTCAGGGAGTGTCAAGGGGGAAACAACTCTTTAAATAGGTGTACATCATGGAATTTTAAGTACTTCAAGCAACAATTTTAATACATTAAGTACAATTTAATAAGCTTTTAAGTGCTTATTCAGTTCTAAAATTATTAATTTAGGTACCTGTTTTAGTACCTTAAGTACCAGTTTGAATGAGAGTTTTGCGTATTTTGAGAATTTTTTAATTGCCAGATATTTATATATGGTGTACACATTTTGGGTAGTTGTGCCCCCTGGGGGACTCTAGAACTCCATCAAATCTCAGAACTTCAAAAACAATTTATAGTAGTTTCCATTGGGCATGAACTCGTGGAGGATTTATGCACTCAGTGTATATCTATCCTTCTTTTTTGACGTGTAGTAGAAAGAGAAATGTATACATTGATTGCACACTAGTTTTACCTATGGAAGACATTAGTTGAAAAAAAACGGCGCCATCTCCACATGCATAGATTTTTGTATTAAGGTAACCTTTGATCCTCAATCGAGCAAACATTCAAGAAATTATTGAATTCTGAATGTTAAACAAATGCAATAATTAAGGCATTTCAAGCCAGTTCAACACTATCGTTTATATCAAAGCTAAACATATTACTATTTTAGAACTATCCCAGCAAACATTCATTTGCCTTCCAATACATTGCTCCCATAACTAGATGTTGCGGCAAAATGACTAGCGTTGGTACGGGGCCATCAAGAAAAGGACACTCTGGCCGACGGTTTCCCGACGGTCAATCAGCCGGCATTCATTCCATTGATGGGCCTTCAAATCCCCATACTGGCATAGGAACGAAGTATAAAAAATATCTCGACTTTGGATGATAAGATTGTGATCTGATAAGATCTTCATTTTGGAGGTTGACCTCATATATTTTCGTGACTTGGTAGCCCTGATGGTCCATTCTCCAGGTGTCCTATCCATTCAGTCGTATTTTTGCAACGGCTATATCGTTGGAATATCTCTATGAGAACATGACTAGCTACTCGTATTAGTATCTAAACTCATGTAGTGAGTATCGGAGAGATGTAAACGAATCGAAACGGATAAGAGAATATTTGAAACTGATATATTCTGTTGATAATATTTCAACTAATACTTTGATATTCTGAGAGAAACAATCCATGATATCATTCCATTCGGATAATCTTGGATCACTCTAGGAAAATATACAGTATGTCTGAAAAACGTGACAATAAATTGAAAACTTTTTCATTATTAATTCTAGGAAAAAAAGTCATTTAACATAAAGACTTCTGCAAGGTCTAAAAACGAAAATGCAAATATATCAGATATCGATTTTTGTCAGTCGTATACGAGGTATGTCAAAAAAGTAGATTTTGTTCAAGTGTAAATAATGTACCGTTTTTATTTTCGATAATATCGAAAATTATTATCATAAAAAAGTTGACTAGAATTGAAAACTACGGAAAACTACGTTCAAATATCTGATAACATCTATTCACGATGAGAATCATGTATTATTATTTCTTACAATATTATCTGATCTATTCATATGGCAAACTATTTTATTATTAATTTTGCGGAAAGAAGTATTTTTCATTAAACGTTCTTCAAAGTAGCAAATCAATAATGCAGATATTATACCTATACTCAACAATGTTTTGAGTCATATGTCAAAAAATCCCAAATTTCTGTAGATCATACTCACGACTTTATTGAAATGATCTTCTGATCCTATAATAATGCCATATTATGATTATCCTCAATTATGAAAAAATTCAGGTTTTTGAGGAATATGAATTCTTTCATCGTTTTTTCTTTCGTATGATTGGAAGAATACACAATCACAATGACCATATACTGTGTTATCTGGAGCAAATAGGTTGAATGCCCAGCATTGGCCTTTTTAAAGATTGAGTAAACGAAGTTGTTTTATTTCCTGGCAACACCAAAGTCAATAAAACGATGAAGGGCCAATACTTATTTCCTTCACTGGCAAAGTGACTACAAGAATGTGAAAGGCCAACAGATTTTTGCCGCTGAAGTCATTCCCCCAGCAAAGAAAGCATTGGGCCAATAACTTCCCGGTAGTTCATTGTTTGTTGGGATGTTTTTTGACGTTTGTAGAAAACAAGTTGTTTGCTCGTGCGTGAAATACTTGGGTCATCTCGACTACTTTTTTGACTCTGCTGCGCCTCGTTAAAAAAAAACAGTTCTCGATCACCGAAGTAGCATTTCGCGCACTACGAAAGTGACTATTACTTTACCTTGGGTGTCCAATAAGGGCCATGAAGAGGAGAAATTCGCGGGCACGGGCACAGTGGTCGAAGTTGAATTCGACAGGGGTTCAGATCCGGTGTGTATGGCGGTCGAAGCAGTGGCGGGAGGGGGGGAATCGCACGTGGATGAAGAATGGCCACTTTGGGGACTGCATGCGGGATCTGCTATCAATCTGTAACAAAAATAGATCAATAAACTTAGCAGAACCACTTCAATATTTCGGACTTGCAATAGTACTATGATTTGTTACTAATTTAGTACTAATTTATTATCATATTCGCAAATTTATTACTGTTCATTAAACAGAAAAAACCAACGGCTCTGCTAGCTTTATGTCAACCTAGCAGAACCATAGCTGAACATTTAATATTTTGAAAATTTCAAATATACTATAGTTTATAACTATTTTATTACTAATTTATAACTATAATCACGAATTTTTTACTCATCATTTCATGAGAAAAAACGACGATTTGGCTATCTGGATCTCAACCTAGCAGAACCAAAACTCAAATCACATGGTTTTTGAAATTCTGTTGTATCATCGATAAGTTACTAATTTATTACTAATTTATTACAACATTCGCAAATTTCTAACACTTCATTCAACAGGGAAAACCAACGGCTCTGCTAGCTTGCTGTCAAACCAGCAGAGCCATAGCTAAACAATTATTATTTTGAAATCTTCAAATATACCATAACTAATTTCTATTTTATTACTAACTTATAACTATAATCACGAATTTTTTTGCCCATCATTTCAAGGAAAAAAATGACGATTTGGCTATCTCGATCTCAACCTAGCAGAACCAAAACTCAAATCACATGTTTTTTGGAATTCTGCTGTATCATCGATAAGTTACTAATTGATTACTAATTCATTACTACATTCGCAAATTCTTAACACTTCATTCAAGAAGGAAAACCAACGACTCTGCTAGCTTTCTGTCAACGATCGAGATAGACAAATCGGCGTTTTTTTTTTTTAAATGAAATGATTGGTAAAAAATTCGTGATTATAGTTATAAGTTAAGTAATGAAATAGTAATGCATTATGGTATATATTTGAAGTTTTCAGAAGAATAATTGTTTAGCTATATGGCTCTGCTAGGTAGACAGAAAGCTAGCAGAGCCGTTGGTTTTCCCTGTTGAATGAAGTGTTAGAAATTTGCGAATGTGGTAATAAATCAGTAATAAATTAGTAACTTATCGATGATACAACAGTATTTCAAAAAACATGTGATTTGAGTTTTGGTTCTGCTAGGTTGATATCGAGATAGTCAAATCGTCGTTGTTTCCCTTGAAATGATAAGTGAAAAATTCGTGATTATAGTTATGAGCGAGGTTATGAGTTAGTAATAAAAAAGTTATAAATTATGGTATATTTAAAATTTTCAAAATATTAAATTTTCAGCTATGGTTCTGCTAGGTTGACATAAAGCTAGCAGAGCCGTTGGTTTTTTCTGTTCAATGAAGAGTAATAAATTTGCGAATATGATAATAAATTAGTACTAAATTAGTAACAAATTATAGTACTATGCAAATCCGAAATATTGAAGTGGTTCTGCTAAGTTTATTGGGGTACAAAAATAGATGAATGAATAATGGTTGAAATTCCATCAGAATGAAAATACGTGTTATGTGATAAATGATCAGTGAATGGATGGTCAGCTTATTTGGGAAATTCGAAAGGGAAATAATAAATACTCTATTTTGGTCTTTATTTTCAAGAAGGATTAGGTATCTTCATTACCAATCTATTTTTGTACGAAATGTATATTATACAGTGTCATTCATAAAGTCGGCATCATATGGCAAAAACTTTTATTAATGACTCATTTTGGAATTCGAGTTGGACGTCAAGATTTGCTTCAAAAAAGATGAAAAATGGCCTACTCAATCGGGGTCACGTAACTTTCGCTACATGTCAAAAGTGACATTTTTTTAAAATTAATCGCTGAAAGTAGGCTTATTTGTTCGAATACCGAAAAAGTTTACTCGAAAAAGTTGTTTCTATTTCAATTTCACACATGCTTCTCGAATTTGATCTTTCTATTGCAACTTTTAGATTTAGATTTTTTTTTAAATTTTTCGAAATTTCTGTAATATTTGGAGAATTGTTAATTCTACGAAACTACTTCATACCAGTAGCTTCTTCATGCTACTTACTTTCAATTACTCATTATCACTGATTATGGACAGAAATATGATTTTCTTCAGAAAATGATAATACCCTCTTCCAAATTCTGTTATGTTTGATGTAAAGTTGATATATCGTCAAGCATTTAGAAACAAAATTCATTCAAACTGATCTTTTCAGTACTGGAAAAATAAATTCAAATGAATTTTGTTTCTAAATGCTCGATTCAAACATAACAGAATTTTGATGTTATGTTTGCATCAAACACAACAGAATTTTGAAGCGGAGATTATCATTTTCTGAAGAAAATCATATTTTTGTCGATAATTAGTGATAATTAGTAATTGCAAGTTAGTAGCATGATGAAACTACTGGTATGAAGTAGTTTTATCGAATTAACAATTTTTTTTATATTACAGAAATTTCGAAAATTTTTAAAAAATATCGAAATCTAAAAAATGTAATAGAAAGATAAAATCCGAGTCACATATGTAAAATTCAAATAGAAACAACTTTTTCAAGTAAACTTTTTCGATATTCGAACAAATAAGCCTACTTTCAGCGATTAATTTGAAAAAAATGTCACTTTTGACATGTAGCGAAAGTCACGTGACCCCGTTTGAGTAGGCCATTTTTCATCTTTTTTGAAGCAAAACTTAACGTCCAACTCGAATTTCAAAATAAGTCATTAATAAAAGTTTTTCCCATATGATGCCGACTTTATGAATGACACTGTATATTTAGTGCTTTTTGAGGTCAAGGAATATCAATTTAAATGATAGGAAATTGGAAATTCAAGATGACGCCTTCAATATGGCGGACGCGTTTGTCTTTCTCGTCTGTTTTGTAGTTTTTTTCAAAATTCAAGTCCGATACTGAATTTTTTCATCGAAAAAAACCTATTCTCAATTTTGCTGCTATTCAATATAAAAAAATCTAATACTTCAAGTCGAATGTAGAGAATAATGTGCCCGGACAAAATCGAAGAAACATTCATCGGTATTTTGTTTGAATTTTTTTTTCAATCCGGTGGAATTGTGCCAATTGAAAAGATGCACTTGTGGTGTTTTTCCTGATCTTCCTGATTCTGATGATAGTTTCCGAAAAATACAATCCAGAAAGTCAAAATTATGACATTTGTGAAGAAAATGAATTTCCCAATCTGGATTTTCTTCCATAATAGGCCAACTCATGGAGAGTCAGAAAAGGTAAGTTGCTGGTGAATTTCAGGCGAAAACATTGTGTACACCAATCTTCAATTTCACAAGGAATTTCAAAAAATTCTAAGGAACCCCAAGGAATTCCAGTGTGTACACCAGAATTAAACCGCACTTCACACAAGGAATTCCAGGAAACTACAAGGAATTCCAGGAAATCCCATGGTAATCCAAGGAATTCCAAGGAACTCCAAGGAATCCCAAGGAAATCTAAGGTATTCCAAGGAATTCCAGTTGTTTGTACCTACATCAGAAATATACCGCTGTTCACTCAAAGTATTCCAAAGAAATCCAATGAATTCTATGGAAATCCAAGGAATTCCAAGAAATTCCAGTTGTTTGTAGCCCAGGAATATACCGCATTTCACCCTAGGAATCCCAAGGAATTCCAAGGAATTCCGAGGAAATCCTGGGAATTACAAGGAATTCCAGTTGTTTGTACACCCAGAATTCCACCGCGGTTCACCATTCGGAATATCGTCGATCAAAGTTTCGCCCCGAAATCAAATAATGCTTCGTATTTCTGTTACGAATAGACAAAATATATTTTTTCACATATAATATCAACTCACCTTGACTTCCTCTATCCGCCATTAGGCTATGGCTGGTTAGTCATGACACACCCTGTATATCATACTGAAGTGGTTAAGGGTAAGAACAACCCGATATGATCTAATATGGCGTTGACTTTTGCAATGTACCAAATTTCAATATTTTAAATAAAATACCTCAACACGGTGCAGAAAATTTGGATTTTGTCAAAAACTAATAGCCCTATTGATACCTATTGAACTTCAGCATAATGTGAATAATGAAAATACAAATCAAAAATGGGATTGTTTTTATACCCTTCTCCTCCAGGCTAGTACGCCCCTGAGCTCAAATTTTGATTCAGCATCAAAAGTTTGTTAATAACCGGTTTTGAAAATATTGAAGAAAAACAGTCTTCAGCAGGGTGCCCCATTTGAAGAGGTGTAGCCTCCCTTGGGAAGCATTTCTCGACAAATATTTTATTACAATATTGAAGGTAACTCATTTCTCGTATCACTCTGTGTATGGCAGGGAATGCCTGAAGAAAAAATGAGTTATAAATGTCGGTTGTTTTATGTTGTTAGGGTGTTGCTAAAAACAAGAAAATAATAATGTAACAAAAATATTATATTGTCTGTATATTCTCGTATTTCACGGAGATTGAAATCTGTTTCTGAAAGTCTATGCAAATGACTGTGTCCACTGTTAGCCCTCTACCACTGGCACCTGGATAAAATCAACAGGTTATGGGCCCAGGAAGCGTGAGCAAGAAATTGTGAATTCAAAGAGGAGTAGTGAAGCAAACGAAAATTGAATGCTGATTGTTCGTTAAGGTTGAAGCCATGGCGAATAATGTAACAAAAATATTATATTGTATGTATTCTCGTATTTCACGGAGATTGAAACAGTTCCTAAAAGTCTTTATTTCAATTACTGTGATAACTGCGTTAGCTCAACAGAATCATCCCAACAATTTTTAGAAAATGTTTAGAAAACACCCTGTATATTTACGGAAAGTTGTGTTGACTTAGGCATATTTATGCTTTCTTACGAAATATACCAATAATACATCGGTTTCTTAAAATAGGCGAATATATTATTCGAAACAACACATCAACTGCCGGACGGAATTCGACATGAAAGGAACAAGTGTCAAGTCGTCGAGAATAGTGCTAGTCGTTGTTGGTGACGGGACAAAGAGGCCAAAAACGCACCGACACACACAGACAGACAGACATGGAGAGAGAGAGAGAGAGAGAGAGAGAGAAAGAGAGAAGGGCCATT